TGGAAGGAGCACATGGATGCCGCTAAGAGGGTGTTGCGCTACTTGTGCAGTACGCCGGGCATGGGGCTTGTGCTTGGAGGAAGGCGCGATGTTGTCCTCACTGGACACTCAGACGCTTCTTGGGCTGACGACCAGGCTACGCAGCGGTCGTCTCAGGGTTACACCTTCAGCCTTGGCTCTGGTTCTGTTTCCTGGCGTTCTACACGCTCTTCCTCTGTTGTGAGGCTGAGATCTACGCCACAGCCATGGCTGCCCAGGAGCTACGCTGGCTCACCTACCTGCTGACCGACCTCGGAGAGCGGCCTCGTTCTCCTCCAGTGCTGTACGTCGACAACAAGGCAGCCATTGCCTTGTGTCAGGAGCACAGACTGGAGCACAGAACGAAGCACATCGCTCTGCGCTACTTCCTTGCTCGAGAGCTGCAGCAGCGTGGTCAGCTTCGTCTCTCGTACGTGGCCACTTGGGCCAACACTGCTGATGTGTTCACCAAGGCGCTTCAGCCTTGCGATCATCAGCGTTTCTGTACTGTTCTAGGCCTTGTGCCTACTCTCCCTCACTTGCTCACTTCTTGACTCTGCTTGTACTGTGATCTCTATACACATACCTGCATGCTTACACTTGCTAGGTTGTGATCACTGTACTTCTTGTTCTATTATCAAACTGCATGTGAACTGGTCTTGTGACCACTTGCTTGTGCTCGGAATTTGTGTGGTATCCTTGAGATCCACCCTGAGCTTGTTTTGCTTTGCCTTGCTTTGACTGGTCTTGTGACCCCTTGCTCTCCCCCACTTAGCCTATGGGGGTGTGTCAAACATTATATGTTTATATTGTGTAGGCTATAGTGGGTTTAGCCTTAGGGGGTACAACAAACTTAGGGTTTCCTACTTGTACCCAACTTTCTGCTAGTTCATTCATTCTTGTTCTCTCTAAGATTCTAACAGGAGGCGCTCTCCTCGTCTATCTCCCAAGCGAGCGTTCCGCGCACCTCGGTGAGACTCTTCTATCGAAGCTCTTTGGCTTCGCGTCGCGCCAGTGCCTCTTCTTCCGCCGGCGAGAGTTTCTGCTTCGAATCGCGTCGGTGAGAGTATATTGCAGCCGCCTTCTCCTTGGTGTAGGGTCGCGGCGTTCCGTGCGCATCGAAGGTTCCGACGCCAACACCGCGAAGCATCCCTTGAAGATGTTGAGATGCGGGCCCGGGGAGGGGGTGTTCTGGCGTGCCGAAGACAACGCGTGTCGCGGCTTCCAACTCCAGGTTGGAGAGGCCCTCCTCAGGAGGTGCGTCGCGGTCTGCTTCAAGGATGGCGGCGAGGCCACGGCCGGCAATCGCGCTTGACGAGGACGTGGGCGTGTGGCAGTCCCTGCAGACGCCGTCGGGGTCAGGGTCGTGTAGCGCAAGCTCGCGCGGATGTGGGTGATGAGGCACCCAAGGGCGCCCATCAGGGTGCTTCCAGTCCCGACGATGAATATGTTCGAAGCGCAGGGGAACAAGGTCAATCAGCTCCTGCGAATCGCCGCTGCAATCGGGAATGTCGAAGTCGAGAACGTACACTTCGTTCTCGGCGTGCGCCCGTCCGATCTGCTTGCGCTGTCAAACATTATATATGTTATTGTTGTGTAGGCTATAGTGGGTTAGCCTTTAGGGGGTACACAACTCTAGGGTTTCATACTTGTACTCCAATGTTTCATAGTTCAATCACTTCACTCATTCTGACATGCGCATCTTGTTCGGCATTGTGAAGTGAAGCAGAATGTCGCGCGTCTCGGGGTCGGTGCTGAGGATGACTCCGCAATCCAGGAGTTGCGCCGCCGAGAGAAGGTTGAAACGCAGGTTCTGCACAATCAACACGTCATTCAAGGTGATGTGCGCTGCTCCCATGTGCTTTGAGCACAACAATGCCTTGCGCGCTTGCGCGCAGCCGCGTATTGTACGCCACAGTGACGTAAGTGACGGCGGGGGTGGCGACGGCGTTGGATATGTAACGCCCAGAGCCCACCATGTGCTGCCCACAGCAGCTGTCAAGGTACCACGTGTTGTAGCGCCTGTTGTCGTTTCGCGCGAGCAGCGCCAGTCGCGGAGTGACGATGTGTGGAGTGTCAACTTTCAAAAACTGTTCGCGCGCGATCCAATCGATCGGTGCCGGCCGCATGTCAGGTACGTGCGGGGGGCTCTCAAGCAGCGGGACCGGGAGATTCCAGTCCTGGTTGTCGTCGTCGCTGAAGTCGTGACGTGTGCTGAACGGGTTGTTGTTCGAGAACGCTCCGAATGGGTCAGGCGCCGGCTCGGGTGACGGTGAGCGCGCGCGCGGGCGACGAGATCCGCTCGTCATGGTCATGTTCCCCATGACATTGCGGACGGGGGCAGCCTGCGATGGCTGCTGCTGCTGCTGAACTGTCGGGTTCAGGTTGCACGATGGGGGTTGATACCCCTGGGCGGGACGCGTGTCATTCCTCGCGTCTTGTCGGCCGGACCAGTTGCTCGGATTGGTCTGACGAGGGCGAGATCGATGCTTGCATCAATCCGCCAAGTGCCCGAAATTCCTGCAGATCTTGCAGCAAAGGCGCCGCGGCCGTCGCTCTTCTGTGTTGTCGGCGTAGAAGGCGAGGCGCTCCTTGTCTCGTCGCGGCGCTGGTCGCTGCTGGTCCATATCTCTTTGTTCAACGAGAAGTGCGGCGCAAAGGGCGGCCTCCGAGATGACCCCCTGCTGTCAGAGAAGCGCCTTGCAGGGCCGCCACTCTGGGCCGAGCCCTTGGAGCACAATGTTGACGAATATCTCCTCAGAGATTGTGCTCCCCAGTTTCGCGATTTGATCGCGTAAGCTCCGACAGCGATTCAGGTAGCTGTTGGCCTTCTTTCCTGGTAGCTGCTGGAGTAGGCGGCTCGACGACACTGAGTCCTTCGGTTGATACACATCATTCAGGTGGCGCCAGGCGTTGAGGGCTGGAGCAGGCGAGGTTTTGTATGAGCGAATGCTCAATTGCTCCGTCGGCGACATGTTTCGCTGAAGAACCCCCGTATGCCATCAAGGACTCGTTGTAGTACTTGGTTTTTGCGTCGTCAGTTTCTTATTAAGGTCCCGCGTAGCTCCCGTCAAAATAGTGATAAATCTGCGCGTTTTGTAGCAGCAGCTCCAGCTCGAAGCTCCAGGTATAGAAGTCTCTGCCGTCAAAGCACACACTTGTCTTTATTTTTTATATGCTCAAAAACCTTGATTGCGCAGAGAGAATTGCTTCATCGCTGGGACAGGGAGTCTTGGGGGTTGAGCCATTTGTGTCAAGAGAGAAGCCTTGCGGGGCGGAGCTCTGGCCGTTTGAGGCCGGTTGAGTGGGTTGGGATGAAGTTCCCGCATCGCCATTCCGCAATGTTTGGAGCCCTTGCTCCACGCTCGTGAGTCGCTGAAGCAGTTGTGCGAGGACGACGGAAGGGATTGTCGTCGTTTCCTCACTTGTCGGGGCCGGGTTGGGCTGCGCTTCAGCCGTCAGATTCGTCTGACCTCCAGATCCTCCGGCCATTCTTACACGCGATCGTGTGCCGGACGCCACTTTCCGAATGTCGCAGATTCCGGAGATGGCAGTGCGAAGGATTCCCGAGTCGCTCTCATACCATGCTGCGATCAGTAGTTGATCGTTCTCAGGATCGCCCCAGGAAGGTTCGCACACTTCTAGTCTAGTGGTGGTGGGCCCTTGACCTCAATAGCAAAGTGGATGTAAATGCTTGAGATGATTAAAAACATGCAGTACAAGGAATATAAATAAGAGTACAGGGGAATTCGAAACGACCTAGCTAGCCATGTACTCTAAGGGGTACATTCCCTTATTGCAGCGAAATTCAACCGTGCGACTCCGGGTGGTTACGAAACTGTTCGGGCAGAATCCTCGCCACTGCTGCTGCCTGATGCTGTCTGCCCGACGGTCCAGATGCTCCTCGTAACCGTACGTCCTTTCGCATTACTAAAGCCCTTTCGTCATCGACCTCGGTAGTGCGTGCTTCGCTTGCTACGATGAGGAGTGCACAGTGATGTTTCACTGATCACTATTCGTAACAGTAATGACCTCAGATCAGAGTGAATGTAAATGAGTGCGATGATAATAGCATGTATACATCAAGTTTATATAGGAAATACAAAGGAATGTGAAACGACCCAGACTAGCCATGTACTCTAAGGGGTACATTCCTTTATTACCGTAAACTCCCGTATATAAGACCCTAGGGTCTTATGATAATCACCCCTCAAAACGTTGGGGGGTATAATTAAATGGTATACATTTTATAAGACCCGGGTCTTTTCAATTTGACCTTTATATGAATGGAGTTTTGGAGCTCAAAGAAGTAATTTGGAATTGCTCCGTTTTTAGCACCACCCAAAGATACTCGAACTGGTCTCCACACAGGCCGAACCCATGTCAACAAGCACCCTATCTGTGAGCCTCCTCCCATTGGCCACAAACACCACTTGGTGTTCACACGACAGCGCAGGGCACCGTTTGATGGGCCCAGCGCACAGTGTTGCCTCGGCCTTCACACCCCATGCACGCTTCGTGCGGGCTGCACACTCATGGAAAGGGCTGGATCTTCAGACACCCCTACAGTCTTCTGGCACGTCCTTGTTCATCGGGCTGACTTCAATTCCCCCTCCTGTTTCTTTCCCCCGTACTGTGCTCGGCTGGCTGCCGCATAGAAGATGACATCACCAGATACTGGGACGTCCGGTGCTAGACGCAAGCGCCGTAAGAAGGTCCAGAAGCCTCCAGTTCCTAGGCCGTCGCCCATGCCCGTCATGCCTACGTCAAGTTCCTCTAGCAGCGAGGAGACAGATAAGGAGCCCAGCGGAAGCCCATGCCGTCCGCTTCCGCAGGTGAAGGTTCCCGTGTTTCCTGTATCAAGCCGACCGCGGGGACAGAAGAAGCGGGTGTGCGACGCAGAGACGCCGGAGACAAGGCGCCGACGAACAGAGAAGTAGCAGAAAGCTTACACCGTCAAGGAGAAGCTTTACTGGCTCAAGATGTTTGACGCGCAGCCCCCTATTAGCGTCAGGAGTTTGGCTAGGCTCGCCAAAGTCCAGCCGAAGCAGATCCGCGACTGGTGCAGCTTGAAGGAGCGGCTCGACAAAGCGGCAGGGTGTCACCAACGTCTCACTGGTGCGAGACGTAAGCCCAAGTACCCCGATATGGAGGTTGCGGTCTACCGCAGGTTCCTGCAGCACCGTGGGAGAGGCCTGCCGGTTTCCGTGGGTCTGCTGCAGAATTGGGCGGCGACCTACATGAAGCATTGCCACCCCCAGAAGAAGTGGTCTTCGTCCCACCGTTGGACAAAGAGGTTCCGCAGGCGGTGGTCCCTGGCGCAGCGCGTGAAGACAAAGATCGGGCAGAAGCTCGCTGCAGGTACCTTGACCTCGGCCTACCCGACGTTTCCAGATGCAAAGTCGTACCGTATCCACCTCGCCTGACTCCCCCTTATCCCATGCGATGCAGATTGCAAGCAGAGGTGCGAGGCCTTCTGGTAATTCGTAAGGCAGATGCGCGTGCTCAACTCCTATCCCTTCAACCTGATCGTGAACGCGGATCAGACACCCCTGTTCCTTGAGATGCCTGCTGAGCGCACCCTCGAGATGAAAGGCGCTCGGACCGTGCACGTGCGCACCGCGGGGTACGAGAAGCAGCGCGTCACGGTCATGCTAGCGATGACCGCATGCGGCTTGAAGCTCCCTCCGTATGTGGTCTTCAAGCGGAAGACCTTGCCGAAGATCCCCATACCCCGAGGTGAGTTGAGTCTTACCGGATGTTCTGCCGGGGTTTGGTGAAGGAATGTCACCGCTGATGTTTCTTTCTTGTTGTGCAGGGTTGTCGTGCGAGCCCAGAAAAAGGGCTGGATGGACGAGAACCTTGTCCAAGAATGGACAACGAAGGTTCGCGTCCCCTTCTTGATGCGCGAAGAGGAAAACCAGCGCAAGGATGCGCTCCTCATCCTCGATTCCTACCGAGGGCACACCACGGAAGCAGTCGGCCAGACCATGAAGCTGTTCAAGCTTACGCGCGCGGTGATCCCTGGGGGTTGCACCTCGCTGGTGCAACCCCTGGACGTTTTGGTGAACCGCAGCTTCAAAGCCGGGGTTCGCCACCGTTACTCTACGTGGTTCCAGGATGAGGGGATTGATTCTTTCACCCCTGCAGGTGAGCATGTAAGGTGTACCCGTTTCACTGTGTGCCTTCACCGTGTGGTGACTCACGTCTGCCCCTACCCGTGACATTTCCCGCAGGGAATTTGAAGAAACCTCCCCCAGAGAGGGTTCTCTGCTGGATTGCGGAGGCATGGGCCGACGTGCCTGAAGAATTGATCAAGAAAGCCTTCGTGACCTGCGGCATCTCCATCGACGTCGACGGGAGCGAGGATGAGCTGATTCTCGCTCACCTCCGTGATAAGGCGGAGGTGGAGGTGCTGGAGGATGTGTGCGAGGAGGAGCTCGATGAGCTCGTCCCCAACCCTTTCTACCCTGACCCTTCCGCCCCTACGAGCATGAACAGCGATGCTGCCTCCTCTCCAGCTGAGGAGGAGGAGGAGGAGGAGGACGAGGAGGAGGAGGAGGAGGAGGAGGACACGGAGGAGGACAAGGAGGAGGATGAGGAGGAGGGTGAGGAGGGTGAGGAGGAAGGCGGTGTGCAGGTGGAGGGTGGAGCGGGATGGGAGGATGATGGCGATGAGTGGTGGGCAGAAGGGCGATATGATGAGGAGGAGGTGGAGATTTGGGTTGCTGGACAGGATTAGGATGGTATTGTGCCTGTGCATCTGCGTTCATGGGTGTGATTACTCTAAATGAACATGGAATATGACCATTTTCTATTGCATTTGCTGAAAATCCGCACTTCTCTAGGATGTGGGGGGTTCTTATAATGTTAGAAGCCATTTAGGGGGGTATAACTCATATGTACTCGAATAGAGTACCCCCCTCCGTATTATAAACCCGGGGGTCTACAACTGGAGGGGGTCCTATATACGGGGGTTTACGGTACAACGAAATTGAAACCGTGCGGCGCGGGAACCCGTTTCAAACCTGTTCCCGCTTTTTTCACTTTAAGTCTTTCTGCCTGCATCGGTGTTGGTCAGACGGTTGCTGTGTCGCTTCGATTCTTATTACTCCTCGACTTCGTACTTGGTAGAGTCGGCTCCTGCAGCATACAGGAATGCCTACCCATTGAATTTCATATCGTACGGTAACACTCCCCTTCATTCCCGGTCGCGCAGAGGGCTGACTCCCTTGACTACTCCCGTGAGGTTGGAGCTGCGCTTGTACTGCTGACGTGGCAGTCGCTTGGTGAGGAAGTCAGCTGCCATCTCAGTTGTGGGGTAGTACGCAAGGTCAACCTTGCCCTGGTCAATTCCGTCCTTGACGAAAACGTTTTGTAGCGCGATGAGTTTCGTGCGGTTCATGAACCTTGGCTTGTTCGCGATCTTGATGGCGCTCTGGTTGTCGTAGTGGAGGCGAAAGGTGGGCGAAGTTGGAATTTTTGCTTCCTGCAACAGTTCGTGCAGGTACAACCCTTCGCAAACTGCTGCTGTTGCGGCGATGTACTCTGCTTTGGCCGACGACAGGGCAACCAGCTTTTGGTTCTGTGAGTTCCAGGAAATTGGTCCTCTTGGTTCCAAGTGAAAGACGAAGCCGGTCCGTGACCGTCGATTCGCAGGATCAGTGGCATGATATGCGTCCATGTAGCCGTTGAGGTTGAAGGAGGTTGTCCTCAGCGTGGAGTAGGAGAGCCCAATGTCAGATGTGGAAATGAAGTACTGCGGGGCGCGCTCCAAGTCCAGCTGGGTCTCAGCTACTGGCTTGCGGGAGTATTGAGCCACTTGGCTTGCGATGTACGAAAGGTCGGGTCGGCAGGTGACAGAAGGGAACAGTAGGCACCCCATTTGCTGCTGGTACACATGGAGTTCTGCGGGTGACAGGGGTTTGTTGTCCGGTTTGTAGTTGGCGTTGGGGTTGCGGTAAGGAGTTGAGAGTTGTGCAGGGGCAATTCTGAAGCGTTATCCAAGCTGCTCTGCGTACTTGGAGGCTGACAGGTGAATTTCTTCTGGCGCGTAAGTGATGTTCGGCCCCAGAAACTGCGTGACGTTGTGGTTGATTGTGATGTCAACGCGTTGCACTAGGTTCTCCTCAAACTGGTGAAGGAGCTTGTTGCAGGTGCCGGTGTACAGCAGGTCGTCGACGTAGACGGCCAGGAGGATGTAATCACCATTGAAGTAAAGGCGGTACATTCCTGGGTCGTGCGGTATCTGCCTGAAGGCGATCTCCAGGAGGATTTTGTGCAGATGCTGCTGCCAGAGGCGTGGTGCCTGTTTTATCCCGTAGAGGGATTTCTTCAGCTGGCAGACCCTTGGGTCTCCTTCACCCTAGGTGTGTGGCTGCTCCACGAAGATGGTTGCATCCACCAGCGCATACAAAAATGCGTTCTTTACGTCGATCTGCTGAAGTGGTAAATGATTAGCGGCGGCAATGGCAAGTAGAATCCTGACAGAAGTGTGACGGCTGACGGGGGCAAAGGTTTGATCGAAGGCAATACCGTGGCGCTGGTCGTATCCTCGTACGACCCAACAGTCCTTAAAGGGCTCGATAGTACCGTCTGCGTTGGTTTTCAGGCGAAAAAACCCACTTTCCGCTTAGCACCCTCTTCCCCTTCACTGCTGCACAATTGACTAGGACCCATGTATCGCGGGATTCCAGCGCCTTTAGCTCCGCGTCCATAGCAGCACGCCACTCCTTGGCGTGAGGACCGATTAGGGCCTGGTGGGGATTCTTGGGCTCAACGGCGTGCGTGAGGGTAGTGACCGACGTGTGTAGGCCGAGAAGCTGTAGTCTAGTGACATTGGGGGCACCTGTGGTGTCTGAGGAGGTCACCTCCACCACATCGTCATCACCACTCTCATGGGCAGGTGAGGAAGTGCTGGGCTGAGTGTGGTGGCGTGATGGTCCGGGCGCAGAGGTGTCGTCGTCATAATCGTCGTCGTCGTCGCATGTGCGAGGCAGTGCGCCGGGATGTTCGTCGGCGGGGTCGTGGTCGAGGGCTGCTGCTGCTGCCGCGTCTTCTGGAGATGCAAATCTGCGGCCGTTGTTGGCGTAGGCGAGTGCGACGTTGCGGCGTTGGTCCTCGGTTCACTGCTGCAAGGTAAGTCGCTTGTAGAAAAAAATGTCGCGCGCGGGGACGATCTTGTTGGTGTCGATGTCCAGAATTAGCCAGCCCTGATACTCGTAACTGAGTCCCAGGTGGATTCCCCAGCGTGCACGGTGAGTAAAATTTCCGTTGGTGGTCGAAGTCGGCCGATACTGCACCACACACCCCCAAACCCTCAGCATGGAGGTATCTCCCCTTGAGCCGGTCCACTTTATGTGGGGAGAGAGATTTCCCCGGTTGGCCATGGTGGAGAGGAGGTTGTGCAGGCGCACGACGTGGTTCATGGCGTACGGCCAATACTTCGTGGGTAGGTCAGACTGGTTAATGAAGGCGCGCACTTTTGTCATGAGGCTACGATTAACCCTCTCTGAAACGCCTTGCTGCTGGTGAGCGTAGGGGAGACAGATCTGATGTTTGAACCCTTTTTTCTGCAACAACCCCTTCCAGTTCGTTGCTGCGAAACTCCTTGGCGCCGTCGGTCTGCCAAATCTTCAGCTTCTTCCCCGATTGTCGTTGCGCGTGTGCGAGCCAGATGCGAAATATCTCAGGGGCCTTGGAGCGGACATTGGCGTTGGCGATCCAGACGTGGCGTGAGTACGCGTCCACGAAGGTGAGTGTGTATTGTTTGCCATTTATGCCCTCAGAGGTGAGCACGATGAAGTCCCTGTAGACCTTCTGAAGCTTCTTGTAGCGATTGGTACTTGGCTCCAGGGAGGGGTATGCTTGGTGTGTGCGTGCAGCTGTGGGGCAGACGGTGCAGGTGGTTGTGTATGAGGTGGTGTGAGGCTCCGTGCCATCAGGACGCAGCAGTGCTCCTTGAAGAAAGACTTTGGCACGGAGACAGTTGTTGAACGTCTGAAGCGAGGGGTGACTGAGTCGCTGATGCTAGAGATCATCTTCTGCGCGAACTTCAGGAGTGCGCAGGTATTGCACGTGGTATATCGCCGCCTTTGCTTCTGTCTCTTGGGGAATTTGGAGCACTGGTCCTTCTTCTTCTCCAGGTTTTGCTTCGTTGTCCTCCTCCTTTGCTTCTGTTTCTGCTGTTGTCTCCCCTTCTGCAGGTGCCATCATAAGATAGAGCGCAAGGAAGTTGCGGTCTGGGATGATGTTTAGCCAGGGTCCGTGTGCCTTCGATGAGGCGGGCGAATGTATTTGGGTGGGAGATTGGCCCAAATGAGTCGCGGGGTGGAGTTGGTGGCACGTTTCCCTCCTCAATCTCCGACCAAGGGTCTTCCCAACGATAAGGTGAGCGGGGTGGTGAGGGAAGAGTGCGGAGGCGTCGTCCGAGTGGGACAGGGATTCGTGAGGGGGGCCTTTCGGCAACCATCTCCCTCTCTACGTCCTCCATTTCTTCCTGGGTAAGGCCGCCTTTTGCAAGTTCTCGTCGTTCGACGTCACCCCATCCGCCAGTTCCCCAGCCTTGAACGGTGCCCGAAGCACCAGTGGCGGATCCCCATGTTGCTCTGGTGCCGTCGTTGTCGTCTCCCCATGCACCGCGTCGTGCTGACTCTTCGTCCCATCCTGCCGCTACGCGCTCCTCATATAGCTTTGCTTTCTTTTCTGCCCTTGCCTTGTCTTCCTGCTCTTTGACGCTCAATTCTTCTTTTGCATCAGGATCTTTCCACGCCTTGGATGAGGTTGCGGTAGACATCGAGGGTGCAGGGTCACGGACGATTTTCATCGTCAAAGGTTGTGGCATGCGCTTCCTCCAGGATCCGGCGGAGGGTTTCGGTGCGCGGTGTTGGTCGCTGCTGCTCCGTCAGCCCCAACCTTTTGTCTCCGATCCCGAAAATGCGGTGAGTTGTGACGGCTAGGTCTATTTCTATCATGCCCGTAGGTTCCGCCTCGGCGCTTTCCACCTCTTGAATTGCCGCGAGGTCCTTTTCGACTTCTTCTGTGCGGCTTGCCGTGGGTGTGAAGCAGGTGGTGCAGAGGCCGTCGGGACCGGGTTGGTGCAAATTTATCTCTTTAGGGTGGGGGCTGCGGCGAATCCACGGTCGGCCAGTCCGGATGCTGCCATGACTCCGCGTTCATGTATAGAAAGTCCGGGGGAACGAGGTCCACGAGCTCGTCTGACGACTCTTGATAGTTGGGAATGTCGAAGTCGAGCCTGAAACGCCGTTGAGCGAGCGAGCTCTTCCGAAGTATTTGTGCGACTTGACGGGTGTGTCTGGGGGAGCGTAGGTGAGGATGAGGTCGCGCGTGTAGGGATCCGTAGCGAGCATGACTCCGCAGTAGTTGAGTTGCCCTGCGGACATCAAGTTAAAAAGGAGATCCGGTACGTAGAGCACGTCGCTGAACGTGATGTGTATGTTCCTGTCCCGAGCTTGCAGCACCACGATGCCTTGCGTGTTTGCGCGCAGTTGCTCGTTGTTGGCGACAGTGACGTATGTGGCAGGAGTGCGGCTGATGTTCGAGATGTAACGGACGGATCCCACCATGTGCTGGCCGCAGCAGCTACCAGGTGTTATGATTGTTGTTGTTGTTGCGCAGGAGGAGTGAGAGCCGCGGTGTCACCAAAGTCGCCTTGTATCGTTTCTCAAAAAACTCATCTTCTCTCCATCACACGGGAATGTAGTGCTGATGATCGTGGGGTGG